GTAATGTGTTTCTAGTGTGAAGGCGCACGACTCGCCGTCGCTTTCTCTCACTGTGAGCAAAGAGCGAGAGCAAGCGAGAGTCTTACATAACGTGCAGTTAAAAAATAACATTTTGTAAAAATAACGGAGTTCCTTTGGAAGGTATCGGCCAATACCGAACCCTAGGTATCGGAATCGGTATCGGAGGCAAAAAAGGCAGATCGGAGCATCCCTACAGTACGCACACATATTATGTAAACAAAACCTTTTATTTTGGATGCAGTTAGTCATTTGACAGCACTATGTTTTATAAACCCGCTCGTTTTTTTCCTTTGTTCCAGATAGAGAAAGCCAAGCCGATCAAGTGTGGGACGTTTGGAGCCACATCTCTCCAGCAGAGTCATCTGGCCACGGGGGACTTTGACGGCAGCCTGAATGTTTGGTAGGATAACGTTTGGTTGCTTCGTGGTTTTCGTCCGTGTTTCCGGCAGACGGCTGCAGTGATCTGAGATCAAAGCTTGCTCTGCAGGAATCTGGAGGTGCCGGAGAGCCCGGTGTACTCGGTGAAGGCACACAAGGAGATCATCAACAGCATTGATGGAGTGGGGGGACTGGGCATCGGTAACGGGGCCCCTGAGATCGTCACTGGGAGCCGAGATGGTGACTAGACTTACTTTGCACAACAGGACCACTTTTGATAACGCATACATGGACAGTGTACTTTATTTGACTAGGAACTGACACATTATTCATTCATTTCTTTCTATGGTGCTTTATGCAGTACAGGTAGTTTCAAAGCAGCCGAGTCCAGCTCCAGTCAGTTCAGTTCAATAAATGTGGAAAGTTCATTTATTATGAAACAAATTCATTTCAGCTAGAAGCAGCTCTGCAGGAGACCGTGAAGTCATCATCCAGCTGTTTGTTCTCATCTGATAATGCTAATTTAATAATCACGTGTGTCAAGTCAAGTCAAGTCAAGTCACCTTTATTTATATAGCGCTTTTAACAATACAGATTGTGTCAAA